GGGGGGGGGGGGTAACTCTTTGGTCAGGAGGGCAACACCACATTCGGCCACCTCCTCAGCACGCCCACCCTGGAGGTGGCCAGCAGGACAGAAAAACACAGAAATGCCCCGGTTGAGGGAACAAGCGCTTCTCGGCCCCCGTCTGCGCTTCTTATTGCTGAGACAGCCGGCGACAAAGGAGGCGTAGGAGACCAAGAATCGGGTGGGAAATGTCGGCACTCGTGTCAAGAGGCAAAGGCCAGGCAGGGGTGGGGAGACAGGGCTGGCGGGCGCGACCAGAAGTTGCAGAAAAGGACCCAGCGGCCAGCGTATTCGACGGAGAACCTGCTCAGCTTATTAAGACCGCTTCAAACTGCCTCGCAGCCAAGCAGGCATGGAATGACGTGGAAAAAGGCACCTGGTGTTTCCCCATATGGACCCAGAACGGCCCGCCGCCTCTCGTGGAACGTGGAAGGGCTTCCTTTTAGGCGGTGGTGGAGAAAAGAAGGCAAGGCCCCTCCCTGTGGAAAGGGCTGGGCGGGTGGCAGCAAAAGGAGGACCATTATCCCCATCCAGGGAACAACCGGGTCATAGTGCAAGGAATGGAAAAGGGCCTGGAAGATGTCCTAACCTCAGATCACAAAGGATGTGGACGAAGGAAGGACCAAGAGCCATTAAGCAACAGCCTCACACACATGGGTGACTCTGCTGCCCTCGCCTTTAATCTTTTGGAACCAACCGTTCCGCTAGCCTGCCCTCAAGATTAAAACAACAACAACAACAACGTGTGGCCTCAACTCAGGGAAGGCTTTCTTTCTTTCTGCGACCCTCCTTCCCCTCCTGCCACCCAAGGATGTGTTTTGGTGAAATCAGCACATCTCCCGGCCTGACCCAGCCAAGGGCTTGTCTCAAAAGCCTAACGTGGACCCTTTTGCATAGTCTGGCTTTACTGCAGTCACGGATCACCAGACAGGGCATCAGGCCACGGACAGGAAGGCCTCCGGATGCGACACCCCCCCAGGCTGCTCCTTCTGGCTGAGCAAGTGGGCCCTTCACTCTCCCCCCCCCCCCGCTGCTCCTTCTCTTGTGGCCGAGCAAGTGGGCCCTTCACTCTGAATCACGGCAAGGAGGATTCTGAGAAGGGGAAGATCAGGAGGGCCTCTGGGGGCCAAGAGGGCAGGGCTCCTGTCTCAATGGCTCGGGTGCTGGTCAGTGTGTCCATTCTCAGCACCTCTATGAACCTAAGCAACAAGCGCAACCGTGTTCAAATGGCAAAAGCTGGTGGGTGCCCTTGGCCACACATTTAGAGAGCCACTGAAACTGGGGGAGTCTGGATAAAGACCTCGAAGCTGCCACTCTTAAGGGCCAAGTCCCTTGTCTCCCTGCGGACCACGACAGGTAATGCCAGCAGGATAAAACTACCCTTTTCTTAATACGTTTTAGGCTTTCTGACCTTTTCAACGCATACAGAAGGAAACTCTAGAAGAGCTGCCCTGATACTTGGCACGGTCTTCCAGCCCTTCCCCCCCCCTCCTGCTAGCTCTTCTCCTGTCCTCTCCCCAGGGAAGAGCAGAAGGGAATGGGAGCCACCGCCGGAAGAGGAGCCCAGAGGCAGCAAAGCTTCTGCGAAGAAGAAGGGCCTTTCAAAGGCCGCCTCCTCCTCCTCCTCCAGATCCAAGAGGCCCAGGGAGCGTAAGCCACGGAGAGGGCCGGGCAGCGCCCCAAGCAGCTTATGGGGCGTTCAAGACAGCAAGGTGGAGAGGAAGTGTTCCGTACCAGGCTAACTTAAGAGAGAATCTCCTTAACTTAAAGTCCCACCCTGACTGGTGGGGCTTGTGAAGCAGGAAGGGGGGAGACTGGCTGTGAAGGTCACAACGTGGCTGAACCATGGAGGCCGCCCCGGTGACGGGCCAGGCTCGCTGGTCCCTCGCAATGGTCTGGCACTGGCAAATCGACTTACAGAGGGCCAGGGAATGGGTGAAGGAAGGGAACAAGAGCTCCCAGAGAGAAGAACTGCTACCTCCACGGGCATTTTACCATCAGCCTGACCTGTGAGCTGACCAGGAGACCAACGGAAACCAGGCAGAAGCCACAGAAGGAACAACGCAGGAAAGGGCAGGACTGCCAGAAGCACTTGCTTTTAAAAAAAAACGGTCCCGGGTGTTCCCATGTCAGTGCCTTCAACGTCAGGTCTTGAACTGCACCAGGTGTTCCGGAAGAGAGGCGCCCGAGCAGGGGACACCTCTTTGGCTCCTCTCCCGCACGCCCTGGGGCGACCAGGGGTAGTGCAATGTCTCAAGGAAGCCACGGCAAAGGCTACTGGCCCCCATTGTAGGCGTAGTCGGCCTTATTGTGCATGATCAGCTTGTTGTCAACAAAGTAGAAGCTGTCCGAGCGCGTCTCGTAGGGGTTTTCAATCATCAGGCGGACTGTGTGGAAGACAGCAAAGGGGAAAGGAAAGGGTCCATTAGCCTCACTGGTATGGCAGGACCTCCGTACTGTTACTTGCTAAAAACAATGAGTTACTTATTATTTTGGAAAAACTAATCTCCTTATAATTCAGCAACTATTATTTGTTCAGGGACAATTCATGAGAGGCATACAAGATACATTTCTGATTATACAGCAATAAATCCTCCCAGTCCCTCTGTAACTTAAATTATCCGTGTTTCAGAGTATTTGGTAGAACACACAAACTGACAGCACAAAAACATCACAGAGAGGGCCAGCAGAAGCAACCAAGGGAAGCAGCAACTGGGGCTCACCTGCTGTTCTAGGAAAGTGTGTTAGTCTCAGGACAAGAGAGAGACGCAGGATGCGAGACAGACCGTGAACAGGGAAGCGGGAGCGTGACGTTTAAGGAAGAAAGAAATGAGGAAGAGAAATGCGGGGAAATCGCTCCCAAAGCAATGGAAACTGGCCGCAATAAATGCCTTTCTTACATATGGGAATCCTCTTCTTGCAGCCAGTTGTGGCCGGCAAAGGATCCAGGCTGCAGCACGAGGCTCTCAGGAGCTGTTCAGAGCCCGAGGGGCTTTGGTCTGTCCCCTCGCAACCAGAGACACACTCTGCTCGCAGCTGTCGCCACACGGCAGAGTCATGACTTAAAAGATTAGACTTAATATCTTAAGTGGCAAAAGGTCTGCAAAGCCCCTGAAAGGAACCAAGCCTCCTTAGGTAACAAAGATATTGATGGACTCATTGATTACCAAAGAAAAGGAACCTGAGAAAGAGGTTTGTCACTGGAGGTGATCAAGACGCTTGACCTTCCAAGCCACGCTGGACATCAATATCCTCACACTATTAATGGCTCACTGCTTGATGCGGATCGCAAAGCAAAATATGTTTTTTAAAATTTTTATATCTGTGCAGGGCTGAGGGGACCCACATTTTGCCCAGCCCGATCTGTGACTTGAGGCCACCGCCTGGAACACTTTTATTAAGCATACTTACTGAGGTCTTCTGAAAGCTGGGGGAACTCGTATATGTGCTCGCAAGTGTTCCTGCTGTTGGGGATACAGAAGCCAAAGTCGAAGTCAAAATTCTTGAGAAGCCGGTCTTGGAAGTAGTGCCTCTCGATCATGCGGAAGTTGGATACGGGTTTGTCCCCCACGGTGAACTCCACCCTGTGGAAAAACGGGAACCAGGAGAAGAGGAGGAGGCAAAGAAGTGGAGGTCTTAAATTACCTAAGACAAGGGAGGTGGCACTGAGGTTAAGCAAAGACCCAGGACGCAGGGCTACACACGTCTGTGCTATGCAGAGCAAAGGCCAGAGCTGTAGATGTCCCATTTTCTACTTAGAAACAGTTGGATAAAAGGCAACATGACTGAAAAAGAACTGCTTCACCAGGAGTGATATATAACCCCTCATTCTGCCTCGAAGAAGGGTGAAGCATCTATACAAAACAATAAAAAATTGCAAACTCATGCTAGGCAGCAGAAGTCAGGCATGTTAAGTTCAATTTATATGGAATGGAAAAGGCAGCTTTTCATACTTCAGAATTATTCATCATAATCTAAAAGCACCGTGTACCCAGAGGTCTGAACGCAGCTCAAGGCCTCTCCAACTTCATAAACTGCTGAACTAGCTTAGCTCAGAATTAAGGCTGGCGTTCCAGCCCCTGACTCTCCCTCAACCAAAAGACAGGCCAACCAGCTTTGGCTATGTGGGTGATGGCCACGCTCCACCCTATTCCGTACGGAAGGTACTTACGTTGCACCGACTGTCCGGAGACGCAGGAAGGCGGGAGTGAACTGGTAGCGAACAAAGCGCCCTGCACTGGCGTCCACCTCTCCAACCTCATTTTCATCATCCTCTTGGTCTGTGAGAAAGGATCCTTACAGAGTCAGTAATGAAGCCATGCACTTCCAACTGCGTAAGCGGCTTCTTAACAAATTACTGCTGCTCCTCTAGGCCCACCTGCACACCAACACGAATTCAAGGCCTGCTGCAGCTGCGAGAAGCTACGATGCAGCCCAGGGCGGATCCGTTGGGTGAACCGCCATCTTTAATGGCACCCAGAAAGAGAGATCTGGCTGGCAGGACACCATCCGTCCAGATCCTCCCTGTGAGGAAGGCCTAGTGAAGTGAACTGGAAGTGCAAAGCATGGACCGCTTGAGTGAGGCTTGTATAGAGGAAGAGGAGTCTGCTACTATGGGCTGGGAAATGGCCTTTTCATTCAGGCAGGCTTTGGGCAACTGAGCAGCTCCCAAGGAAGGAGCAGATGTGTGTGTGTGTGTGTGTGTGTGCTGTTGGCAGAACTGGTGTGATTTAAACCAAAGGGTGTGTGTGTGTGTGTGCGTGCGCACGCTGGACTTTTGTGCGGACATGCTTTGAAACGCCTTCTTAACCGTTTAACTGCAAGCTGCCATCACTTTGGGTCTGTTTTAATCTGCGCTGGTTTCAATCCTGATGCTCCTGGCCACCTTCTCTCGTGGTTCAGAGAGAAAAACCAGTACACAGATCAATGGAAATAAGTGGAGAGACCAAAAAAATCCAAGCACACCAATACTGTGTCTCTGCAACGCGGTGCAAGGAATTTCTTGTGGCTAGCTGGAGCTCAGCTTTTGCATATCACACCCATTTTCCATGAGTTACAAGTAAGGTGTTATAAAGCAACTAGCCGCTTCTGGCCATCAATGATAGAAGGAAAAACATCCCCAGAAATCCTTTTTTCGGGCAATGAGAACAGCGGATTCTCACATTACTCCTTTTAGGTCTCTCTGCAGCCTTGCTGAGAATGGACCTTGGTTTCCGTCCTTCTTTCTTCTGTTATGTCTCCTGTTTTGTTCCCCTTCCCTCTAAATTGAGGATACCAACAAGTCAACCCTAAGTCAGCCATTTCTCCCAATGGTTTTTACGCTGTTGGCAGAACTGGTGTGAGTTTAAACCAAAGGGTGGGGAAGTGTGTGTGTGTGTGTGTGTGTGTGCTGTTGGCAGAACTGGTGTGATTTAAACCAAAGGGTGGGGAACCAGCTTGGGTTTCGTCCCACAGCAAAAGGTGGATGGCTGCCGCCACCTTTGGGTCCCACAGCTGGAGATGCTTTTCAATGTTAAACAAAAACTTGCATATGTGAGGGGACCGATAGCGTTAACACTCCAGTGAGTTGCTTCTGCAGACAGGATCACAGTAAAGATAGCCTATCAGCTGCTGAGCGAAATAAGCAAAAAACACAAGTTGTGCCTTTCTAAAATGTCATGTTTGGAACTCGGTTCCCTATTTCCCTCGGCCCACTCACCTAAAGCTGAAGGTTTGGCGATTTCAAACAGCACCGTCCCAGTCTCTAGGTCACGGATCTTGAACTTGGTGAAGTCAATACTGTAGATGTTGTCCTCTAATCGGCACAAATAATCTAGGAAAAAGAGAAACAAAAATGGCATTGAGAGCGAGCGGACAATGGGCCCTTTCAAAACCCACCATTTATGCAAATGCGCTTGGTTTAACGGGTCTTGAAGTAGTGGGGGGGGGGCTCGCAACTGGATTTCTGCCACAAGAGTTCTACAGCGCTGTAGCACCTTGAAGATTAACAAGCATTCGGTGGCTGAGGTTTCCAAAGACTTCAAAAGCCCAATTCATCAGCAGCCGCTCAAAACTTTGGAAAACGGAGGGTGAGCCGGGGTAGACTGTGCTGCACAAACTGGTGGGGTGTGTGTGCGTCTCTCTGTTCCTTGCACCCCTTGTGTGGTTCTTCATCATCTTTACAACGGCAGAGCTGGAAGGGACCCTCCGGATCATCCAGTCCAGACCCTCACAAGGAGGCCCAGGGAGGCATCAAACTCCCAGCCTCTAGAGGCTCCTCAGCTGGAGGCCGAATCTTGCTGGGCTCCGGGCAAGGGGTTTGCATGTTGCACCCGGGGGGCCCTCTCACTGATGGTGGGGTTTTCCCCCCTTTGGGGGAGGAATCTCTTGCAGAAGTGATAGTACTGCACAATATAATGTATCAATCAGGCTGCAGTCTGAAATCCTCTTAGGAAGAAATGAATCCTACTGCAGAATAGAAGTTATGTCAGAGTACACTTACGTAGCTTTTGGGCTGTTAGTCTTGTGTCTGGTAATCACAGGTTCTGTAGAAGAAAAGTAAGTACAGTAATGACTTTGCAAATAGGGAGAAACTCTAATTTTCTTCTTCTGTTTGAAGTTTTCTGCATTTTTTTTTTTCTGCATCAATATTTCATTCTCTCCCCACTCCTTCTCCTTTCTCCTTTCCTATTGTGGTGCTGCATATCCGATACTGCTGTCTTAGAGAAGGGAAGAATCATTAATATTTTCCATCAGCAGTGGAGTGAGCCCCAAACCTGAACACCTTCTCTTTTTTGGGTGTGTGTATGTGTGAGAATTATATGCAGTATAAGCATACACAAAAATGTTTTCCCCAACTTCTCTGATATATGGATACATGTAGCTTTTCTTTTCTCAAAGGGGCTTCCCCCCTCCACGAGCCCCATTCCAGGCCCAGACCCTGGAAGGACACGTGTCTGTGTGTACGTGTGTGTGTGCGTGGGGGGG